AGCCGCCGCCTCCGCCAGGTCATTGCGCCAGAGCCGTACGGTTTCGTCCGCACCGCCTGACGCCAGCAGCGTGCCGTCGCCGTTGCTGTAGCATAGGGCCCACACCGGCCCGGAGTGTGAAGCTGCCGGGGGCGAGGCAGCGAGGCGGCGTGCCGTACCCAGGTCCCACACCAGCACCTGGCCCTCGTCCGTACCGGCAGCCAGATGAAGGCCATCAGGGGACATGGCCATGGAGGTAGGACTGCCGTACAGCCCCCCGGAGAGGTACCTTGGGGGGTCGGGGGCGGCGGGGAGCACGGGTTACCCCAGTGGGTGGGCTAGTGGGTGCGGGTGCGAGGTGTGAGAATACCCGGTGGGGTCGCACGGGGGAAGGGGCTGCGTGACTTCCCACCCCAGCTGTCCGCCCAACTCACCGGGTAACGATTTCCCCCCTAAAACACACACAGCCATCTTCTAGACCGCCTCCGTACACCTCTTCCTGACGACCACCCCACAGAATTATCCTCCACCCCACCCCACCCCACCCCACCCCACCCCACCCCACCCCACCCCACCCCACCCCACCCCACCCCACCCCACCCCACCCCGCCCCACCCCACCCCACCCCGCCCCAACCCATCCATGCTCACCTCACGCACTTGCCCTCACGCACGTCCCACAGCCGCAACGTCCGGTCAGCGGAGGCAGTGCCCACCAGCGTGCCGTTGGGGTGCCAACGTACGACATCCACGTCCGCGCTGTGACCTACCAGCAGCCGCAAGGGTGCCGTACGCTCCGAAACCCACAGCCGTGCCACGCGATCGGCTCCTCCGCTGGCGAACCAATGTCCGAGGGGGCAGCTGGCAACATCCCACACGGGAAACACATGCCCCGGGTAAACAGCTAAACAGGATCCAAATTCCATACCCCACACTCGTACAGTGCCGTCGGAGGAGCCGCTGAGGATGAGCCGTTGGTCAACGGTCATGTCGACAGCGTGTACAGCAGCTGTGTGGCCGTACAGACGCGACGTGCCCGGCGGCTCGGCTTCGTCGTCATCGTCGCCGACCGCCGTGCCGTCGGGCGCAGCTGCGCCGCCGCCGCCGCCGTTGGCGACGGCCCCCCCGGAGCCCCCGTTGGGCCCCCGGGGCCGGTATCGGCGGAGCTGTGCGTGATACACGGAGATGGTGGGCATGTCGTACAGGCGTACGGAGGAGTCCGTGAAGCCCGCTGTGTGTACACGGCAGATGAGCCGAGGAGCGC